GAAGAAAAACTCTGAATGGAAAGGGGGTGAAAGGGAGAGGATGCGTGGAGCCGTGCGTGAGTGAGGCCGCGAAGGCACTTCTTGGCTGGTCGCAGCCTGAAGGGTCTGTAATAATTGGATCCTTAAGTAGCAGAGCCACGGATGAGTGAGATGATTTTACTCAAAGTATCTCCGTGATGCCACATGTGCTCAGCTGCAAGATGGAAGGCTACGGGCGGTGACAGCTCCCGCTGAGCTGTGAGACGGCACCGATCGTTTAATAATAATGCGGGTAGAAGGGGATCTAAAAAGCCAGAAGGGAAGTTAAGGGAAGGAGCGAGGGCTATCAAGGAAGAAATGGACGGGCTCAGGGGTGGAAAACAGAAAGCAAGTCTTCCACCCATCGTCTGGACAGCAGGCCGTGTGTAGACCGAATCTGGCCCACAAGAGGGACTCAACTGGACACCTCTTTTGCACAAAGCAGACTCTTAAACGAACCAACCACCTCGTTACTTGCTCACAGAAGTGAATTGAAAAATATTCGGCCCAGTTCGCAGAGTTTGGGAATGTTGCTTTTGGTCAATCCGGTTCCTGGAATGGCTCCAATCAGACTCAGTCAGATGCTGGCTGGGACATTCTTAGTAAACCACCCTTAACTCGTACCACCCAGTTTTTATCCATGAAGGCTTGTAGATCACTTGAAAGTTCTCTCTTTTGCACGCTTTTAGTTGGCCCTAACAAAATTGTTGCCTGGCTGTGGGTTTTGGTTTTGTTGTTGGAGTGCAGGAACATTTTACCGGTGTGTGCTTTAGATTCCCAGTCGAGAAAAAAAAAATTTTTTACACAAAGTAATAATGTGAAATGCAAGAGGGAAAAAATGGTTGATCTGTTTTTGTTCCGCTGGGGGATCCAGACAATGCACCGTTTTCAAATAAATGACTGCTACACCCTGCCTTTTTTGCATGTGAAATAGGGGTGTTCAACTTGGTTTCCAATAAAAACTTTCCAAGTTTTTTTCTTCTTCCAGAATCAACAACTGACATCCTTTTGCTTAGTGTCGCAACTTACGACTAGAGTAGGCCCATTTGAATCGGTGGAACGTCTGTAAGAGTTCACTCACCAAAATCCCCACCGATTCCGTGGCCCTTCTGTAATGCAACTTACGACATTAAGCAACATCTAAGTTGACTTCAGCCATGAAGTCAACCTGGATGTGAATTATGTCAAAGGTGATGTAATTGTTTTTAAAGCGTACAAAATGATCACTGGGAAAATAGGTCATTTCCCCCCTATCTTAGCCAAGGTGGTACAGTGTAGAAGAGTTCGTTCACAGAAGTACTAAGAAGAGACCCAGCCCTGATGACATAAAACAAGCTAAACAATCAACTTTGGACAACTTGCAGCAACATTAAATGGGCAAACTAGTTTGGACGGTATCCCGGACAAACCACGGAGCTGAGAAACATTAGGTGAGAGATGAAAGCGTATGAGACTGTATAATTCAGGGTCATAAGTTTTCACTTATCAGTTAATGAGCCAAAAAGCATTGTGTGAGTTACAAACACCAGAAATCTTGATAGGGAGATCTGTAGATCTAGGGAGAAAAAAGATAATATTTCAGTTTAATGATTCCCAACAGCAAGAGAAAGAAAGGTTTAAAATAGATGAAACACGTTCATTTAGGTTTAATTAGTGCACTTTGAATGAGAAATCTAATTAGTTTACCTACTGCCAAGATGTTTGTCTCATCAGCAAAGGATTCGTGCAGAGCCCATTTTAAGAGCATAATTATTTATTCCAGTTCTTCTAGCAGTTAATTTCCCGCTGACCTCTTAATTGTAATCTTGTGGATGTCTGAAACTCTGAAATCAACCAGATGGATAATTCGCCAAATTATCAATCTGTTGAATTTACAGATCATGAAACCTCATGCTGTAAAACATTTGTTAACGGGTAAGATTTTGCTGTGGGCTCCTTTCCTGGTTTTGCCACGATAGCTCATGGCTATCTGATTGGACTTGGTCAAAGACATACAGTCATGCCCCACTTTACGATTACCCCATATAATGACAAATCCGCTTCACGATGATGTTTTTGCGATCGCAATTGCGATTGCAAAAAGATGGTTTGAATGGGGTTTTCCGCTTTGCGATGATTGGTTCCCTGCTTCAGGAACCAATTTTCGCTTTACGACGATCAAAAACAGCTGATCGTCGGTTTCAAAATGGCCGCTGGCTGAAGAAAATGGCCTCCTGCTGTGCTTAGGGACGGCTTCTTCACTGCACAGGCAGCGAAAATGGAGGATCTTCGCTGGACTGTGAGTTTTCAGCCCATTGGAATGCATTGAATGTGTTTCAAAGCATTTCAGTGGGCTTTTTTATTTCGCTTTACGACATTTTCGCTCTACAGCGATTTCGCTGGAACGAATTAGCGGCGTAAAGCGAGGCACCACTGTAGTTCAAAAATTAATAGTATCAGACCTATCTGTGCTTAAGGCCCTTTAAATTCTTTTAGAACTCAGGGTAATGGGACTAGATTGATAACATAGGAATTAATATCAACAATAATAATTGAAAAACTGTATAATGACAACCTGATTTGAGGGCCTGAAATGTTCTCTTTTGTGAGGACAAGAAAATGCTTGGGAAATATGCGATATTTACTCCTTTAAAATTTCTTTATGTTTTAATTTGATTGGATAATCTGTGTTTCTCTTGATAAACAAAAGAAATGATAGTTGTGTCATAATCACTTGTATTAGGGAACCTGTACAGCAACTTGTCAAACAACTGCATTTATTGTTTTTTATTTTATTTATTTAAACTATTTTTTACCTCACCTTTCTCCTAAAAATGGACCCACAGCAGCCTGCATAATTTTTTTTTTTAAAAAGCACATTAAAGGCTAGAAAACAAGAAGTTATTTGAATACAGTAGGACAACTCCACCCACCCCAATCTGCAGGACCAGTTCCCGTAGTTTCATTTATTTATTTAATTTATTTAACTTAATGCCAAAGGTCTCTGGGTGGCTTACAACAATTAAAATACAATAAAAAGATAAAACAATTAAAATAGATACTCTAAAATGTATCTGCTGTTTAAAAATGTTAAGTTTTAAAAAAAACCTCAGAAATATGTATTTATATGTTTTAGAAGAGGTAATTGTGTTAATCTATGCAAGCAGGACAGGCAAAAACAAATATTTATGTATTCATTCATTCATTCATTCATTCATTCATTCATTCATTCATTTATTTATTTATTTATTTAAAACAGTGCCAGTGAAAATAGAGAATACATACTTTGATGATCTAAACAAGGTGATTTTAAAATTTATTTGGCAAGGGAAGAAAGCCAGAATCAAATTGAAAATGTTGCAAGAGGCTTTGGTGTACCGGATACCAACCATCTGTCCTAATGTGGCTGAAAGAATGGATTAGTCTTAAAAACAAAAGAGTTTTGTATTTATAGCGGCATGAGTTAGGTTGGCCTGCCTTTTTATGGTATCAGAAAGCTAAAACACACTGGTATTTCCAAAACCACTATACAGTATTAGAAACTCATAATATGGGAAAAATAAAAACGAAAATGTACACAAAAATATCAGGATGGGTTTCACATCATCATCATCATCATCATCATCATCGTCATCGTCATCGTCATCGTCATCATCATCATCATCATTATAACTCCTATAAGTGATTCCAG